AATGCGGTGGTTGAACGCACCGCGCGTGCGCATCGACGTGCGGATCGTCACGCGCATGCCGACACTGCGGGTGAGAGCATCAAAAATCCGTAGGAGCGCCTTCGTCTGGTCCGTCGAGCCGTTCTCGTATATCGACACGTATACGTTGTGGTACCCCAGAACGGCGGCAACCCGGAAGAGCGTCGCGAACAGATCCGGGATGACGTCAAACGAGTTGTACAGGTTGATCGCGAAGAAGTACTTGTGGTTGTCGGGGCCGAATCGACGCGATGTGGGCACGTAGTCGCCATCGCCGCTGCTGCCGATCCCGAGAGCATCGAGCCACGACGATGTTGATGGCGACTGGTGGCCAACAAGCGGAGAATAGCGATCCGCGGCTTGCTCTTTGTACATGGGCTGCGCTGGCCGCGTGCATTCTTTTGTGTAATGAGGGGAGAGGTGGGTGAGGAGTTCGAGCACTCGTCTTCGTTGCTGAATGGTGGGGAGAGTGATGGGTTGTCGTGTCGGCGTGCGGGACGAGGGAAGTACTGGTGCATGGCCGCCTCTCCATGTTGACCTATGCTCCTATTGATTGTCAAGTCAGTATTGACTGCGGTGTTTCAAGGCAACAAGGGGTTCACAGGCGCTCTGCAGGCTACCCAACGCATCGCGATGCAAGACTGTGACACAGGCCAGACTGCCCTCCGACTGGCCCATTTGTCCGCATAGAGCGCGACTGGCTCGAGACACCGTGCACGTTGAACCTCCGCCCTTAGGATAGTCCAGCACAGTGGACTGACAAGCACATGTTGTCGGTCGCGATAGATTGCATTGGTCGGGCTGCCAGCCCCACACCCTCATCCGTCTGTCTGTCCGGCGGTGGAGGCCTTCGAGTCGTCGGCCGCGGATGGTTCATTTGAGGTGCATGTGGCTCCTCCAGGAACACTAGAGGTGACTAAGAGTTGCATTCTAGCAAGAGAATCTGGAAGAGATGTCCCGGACACTGTCCCGAGTGCACACTGGAAGTCCGGCTCGAGCATACGAGGGGTTGGGAAAGGCGCTTCAAGGTCCGCGGCCAGTGACGTGAACACGTTCGGACGAGGACTCCATGCTCATAGAGCCACGAAGGGAAAGGGTGTAGACGAATATGCATGCACTGACTGAGAACTCACCGCGGAGAACATCTTCGATACGAAGAGGCCAATCATAATCCCGATGGAGAGCGCTACCCATGTGGGGATGCGCTTGAGCGGGTGCTTGCTCCGTGGCTGCATGGTGGGCAGCAAGTGTATCCTGAGGGCACGATTGAGCGTATAGTAGGCCATGGCGACGAGAGGGCGGAGAAAGACCGCAGAATGGACACGTACGGTGGACAGGTATGTTTCCCGTTCTGTGTGGGTTCCGACGCGTTAGCTCCGTGACCAAGCGTGCCGCGGATATGCCAGAAGTGTTGCTTCCGCGCGCGAGGAGGAACGCCCCAGAGAGAATTAGAAAATTGTAGCCTAGTAACAGCGGGGTATCTGGGAGAGACGGTGGGCGGACAGGAGGAGAAGGAGAAGAACTGATGCAGCAAACTTGCCAAATGGCAGGGGGCGCGAGCAGAGACGCGCATCCAGGCGCCCATATTGGCTGATTATGGGCATGCCACCGCGACGGGTTCTCTGTCCCCGACTTTCGCTTTTCCTGCCACTCCTTTCTCGACATCGTTGACGACGACGACGACGACGACGACGACGACGACGACGCCCGCGGATGCAGCGTCGCGTAGGCAAGGGCCTTGCCCACATCTCCATCCCGTCCACCCCCGCCCACATGTCGTCCGACCCGGAGAAGGCGTCCCGCCTCCAACAGAAGAGCCTCGGGGTCACGAATCGCATATGGCTCATCCTCCTCGCCTTCGTCGCCCTCATCCTCTTCACCCGCTCCATCCTGCCCTCAGAGTCCTCTAATCCCCGACACCGGCTCCTCCACACCGACCTGAAGCCAAAGAACTACCTCAACCTCACCGATCACGCCAACCCGTTCCCCTTCTGTCCCGCACTCGGCCCAGGAGACGAGTTGGCCCAGAAGTACGACCCTTTCATCCTCTCCACGACCCGCTTCCACCTTGGCAGCGGTGCGCGCGTTCAGCGCGTCATCAACAAGGCCCTCAGCGGCCTCCCCGTTACAATCAGTGTCATTGGCGGCTCCGGTGAGTACTTTGCCTCGACTTTTCGTATCCGACTTTTCTCCTCTCCATGTCCGCGTCGGCGCGTGTCGCGGACATAACCATATCTTTGAATACTTCGATGCGCCGGCCGTCCCTGGTCCACGTTGTGTCTTGAGAGTCTAGGGGTTAGTGCGCAAATTCCTCCCCTATATGTTGCTGCCTCTGACCGTGTGCCTGGACGAATGACGTTCGAAGTCTTCATTCTGAACGCCCTACGTCCGTCCATACGTGTTGTGATGCGTATTATCAGCTTGACGTGGTGCGGAACGGTACCGTTTTCCAGGCATTCGACGCTACCATCGCACCCACCGCTCGCGTCCGCCGCCTAGATGTCCCTAGAGCAGCTCACAAGCCTCTATAGCGAAGTGTCCTGCACTCAGATACGTCAGTGGCACATCAGATGTCTCGGGGTGCGCGTAACATCCGAGAACTTAACCTTGCCTCGACACGCAGTGGGCCAGGATCGGCGTTCGACTCTGGTCATCCCGTAACTGGATGACGTTAACGTGGTCGCAGCCGGTCCACTCAAAGATAACACGGTCGTACTCGTAGAGCGAGCATCTGGCGACTTGTAGGAGTCAAGCTACACTCTCGCCGTTCCCGCTAAACCACAGTCCCGTTGTCGAGATGGTACCCTGGCACTGTCTGGCTTGTCTATGTGCCTTGGGATGCACAATGGTATGAAGATTGGAGGTCTACCATGGCCCTGCGATATGAGAACGTCCGAGCGACTAAGAACTTTGTCCGGCGGACTATCCACCGCATTGTATGCCGGACAAAGACATAGAGCCCTGCGCAGAGCATCACAGTGATGGATGGCCCGCCTGATCCTGCTCCCGCCTTGACCGCCGCCGCCGAGTCCCGACACCCTGGATGGTCCAATTGAATGCGCGGTCCGTCCGCCAGACAGGCTTAGCAGTCAACCTGACTCTGTGCGCGATTGAGCCACACACATCGGAATTGTCGCTTTGATCTCAGCATTACCTGTCTGCTCGCGACTCACCCTTAATATCTCATCGCTGACATGTTGATCCCTAGTGTCCGCATGTCATGGTGCTGGCGACGACCCACTATCACCTAGCTGCTGGCCCGCCCGCTTCTTCAACTGGTGGAACGGCGTATTTCCGCATCCAGCGACTGAACTGACGAACGGCGCCATGCGTCGCACGAGCGCGTCGTACTTTGGCTTCTGCAACGCCCACCACATACCCGACATCACCGACATGGTCATTGTTGAGTTGGATGTCGACGACGCCAAGTGAGTGCTATTACTGTCCAGCGTGTACGTCAAGACTGACGCGGTCGTGCTAGCTCTGATGCGTCCATGGAGGACTTTGAGCTGCTCATCCGCTCCATCCTGATCCGACCGGACGCTCCTGCCGTGCTTATTCTCGGCCACTTCAGTCCTCAGGTCGCGCAGTCAAAAGGTTTCGCAGGCGCCGACCACTGGCACAGTCTCGTCGCGCACTTCTACGACATTCCCCATGTCAGGTACGTGCGCATGTTGCGAGGAATTTGAGTTCTGCGTTGACATCGAGCAGCATCAAGCCGATCCTGTACCCGAGGTACATCGCGGACCCGCACTCGATCGAAAAGTACTTCGTCGACCCGATCCTCGCGAATTCGGCTGGCCACGAGGTCATCGCCGACGTGCTCACCTCGTACTTCCAGACGCAGGTGTGCATGACCTGGGCAGCGATCTTGGGCCACTCCGCCGAGGCTCTCCCGTCGCCCTCTTCACAAGTGTACCCTGACGGCCAGGCGAAGCAGCCGACGGACGCACGAGGCCTGTTCGGCGGCGTCGCGCAGCGCAAGGGTGCAGCCGGCGCTGCGTCGCCCGAGGACGAGCAGATGAATCGTGCGGCGGCCGGCGCTCTGCCCGCCGGTGTCGCAAACGGCGAGTCTCCCGGACGCACGCTGAGCCAGGACCCGCGCCTGCGCGTCCCGCCCGTGCGCATCAACTCGCGCCCGGCCGACCTTGAGGAGGCGCCGTTCGAGGAGGTCGCGCCGTACTGCGTGTCCGCGAACGACCTCGTGAACCCGCTGCCGCTGTCGATGTTCTCTGGGTCCGGCTGGGCGGCGTACCACCCGCCGCCGGGGAGCGCGGAGCTGTCCTCGCACGCGCACTACTTCTACTCAAGCCTGCCGACGAGCAAGATGCGGGTGAACATCCAGGCGAGCGAGGGCGAGGTTGCGGTGTACTACGTCAAGGAGCCGGCGTCGGAGGTCGGGCTCGGGAGCGCGGTCGAGTGCTGGGTGGACGACAACTATGCTGGTGCGGTCGTCATCGAGAACGCGGGGCAGGTCGGGGAGCCGACGCCTATGTGAGTACTCTTTTGTGGGACTCTGGTTCTGGCGGAGGCTGACAGCTTTGAATTTGCAGGCTGCAGATTATTGACCGCCGCGTGGCGCGGGGGACGCATTATGTCGAGTGTCAGCTGCTGGGCGAGGAGGACGACCGGAACGTGCCGCCATTCAAGATTATCGGCATTTTTGCGACGTGAGGAACTGTGGACCCTAAGCTGGCATTGCTCTGCGTTGCCACGGGTCGTGTGTACATTCGTGGATGCCATGTTCAGGCTATGTAGACCTTTTAATAATGCCTTAAAGACTTTCCTCATGTGCGCGAGGAAGAAAGACGACCGTCAGCACAGTATGTTGCGGGCTCGCTCGTCAATGCGATGTGTCGTAGTATACCCTATATATCAGAGTACCCCACCCGCATAGGTGGAGGTCTGGGGAGACTTGGGGACCTCCCTTGCCGGTTATGAATGATAATATGTAAAAAGGATACTGCGCTGAGTTTTCGTCATGGACATTCAGGGGATTGAACCCTGGACCTCACGCATGCGAAGCGTGCGCGCTACCACTGTGCCAAATGCCCGATGACGTTATGCACCTCATGTACCTCACCGGTAAATCGCTATAACGTTCCAAGTTTCGCTGAACTCTCAGAAATCCAACTCAATCGCACGTTTGTACTTACTTGCACTAGTAGTTGCGTTGGGGAGAGACTATATATACGGAGGCCCACTACTGGAAGTGAAAGATATGTCCGCAACCGTCCAGCTCACCTCCCGAGAAGTTCCCGCAGGGTTCGGCCGTTGGACATCCTCCGTCCTATTGATAGGCTATCGAGCGCATGATCCGTGCCCCATATGCTGGAAGTTTCACAGTGCTGCCTCGTGCAAGTGAAGTCGCGGGAAAAGCCACGACCAGTGCGTTCGCAGGAAAACATCTGAGTTTGACTTCGGCTTTCTGGTGGGTTGATATGCTGCGCCTGAGCGCACGTTCGACCTTGACGCGTCCTCGAGCAACCTCAGGCGGCCGAGTGCGAGCGAGAGTAGCTCCTGCACTTCTGTTTGTTGCCGAGAGCATGTCGAGCACGTCGGCAAACGCGTCTGTGGCGGAGAACGCGAAAAAGTACCGCACCGGTCACCAATCAGAGGAGGGATTACGTCAGATTCTCGAGCCTGCCGGATGGAGCTCCAAATTCGAAAGAGTAGTAACATAAGCACCGACATCCCTCCTTCCTACCTCCCTCTTCATCCCCCTCGTCCCCTCGTCCTTCTCGTCCTCCCCCTCCTGTCTACTCGTATCTCCTCGTCATGTCCGAATCCTCTTCCGCCGCCCCATCCGTCCCCTTGCCGCACCGCAGAGGCTCATCAGACACACCGGCGAGCAACAAGCCACCCGTCTGGTCGATTAACCAGTCCGCATGCTCTGAGCCCGCGCCGCTACCCGCGAAATGCGACCGACACGAACGTGTACGCTCCGGTGTTTGCTGCAAGGAGTTGAAGGGCGACGACGAGCGCACCCTCATCGACCCTGACGTTGTCCGCGACGTGTGAGTACATCCGTTCTTTCTCCTCCATTTTCTCTGTGCGTTTTTTCGGGCGAACATGCTCCGCCGGTCCGTTTTCAATGTTGCCAGGAATAATGGAGCTGGGGTGAAATCTTGCGGCCGTGCGTGCCATACCTTCGTCCTGCCGTCGAGCTAGAATGAGGGGGTGCATCGAAGGCGGCTCCGTGGAGGTCTGGACGAACTGTCCCCGCTGTATCACTATACGAAGATCGACGGACTGGCTTTTTCGAGGGCCAATGGCGTGCGTCCCGTTACTACCAGCAGGGCGGACATGCTGGCAGCTGCGGGACATGATCGAGGCTGCGTGCCATGCAGAGATACGCGCTAGAGTGTGTCTCGCTCTCGTCTTCTCTTGTCTTGTCTCTTTCTAACAGTGCAGCGTGCATGCCTTGCGAGGCAAGCAGCATAATCTTCGAGTGGCTGATGCTTCAGCTTCCGGTGGATTCTTGTTCTGTCATCTACTAAGTTCTCGGCACCGTATCTATATTCCGCCACCAGACTGACCTCGTAACACCCGCAGCGTGATTGGCCTCTCCGACGGACTGACTGTCCCATTCGCACTTGCTGCCGGCCTTTCTTCCCTCGGCGAGTCGAAACTCGTTATCCTCGGCGGAATCGCCGAGCTCATCGCCGGTGCCATTTCCATGGGCATCGGTGGCTTCCTCGCATCACAAGCGGAACGGGACCACTACCGCTATCAGCAGAAAGTCACCGCGGCGCGCGTGCTGCGTTCATGTGACGGCGAAATGGAGCGCGAGGTGCACGCGATCCTCGGTCCCGTCGGCGTGGACGAGAAGGTCTCGCGGCAGGTCGCGGCGAACCTCCGCGAAGTCGAGTTCAGCACGCTCGGCGACGGGCCGTCCCAGGCCACGCGCGCCAGCACCGCGAGCGACGCGACGCTCACGATGGAGGAGGGCACCGCGCTCCGGTGGGCGAAGAACGTCGGCCTGACGGCGTTCCTGCTCAAGTTCGGCGAGGGCATCGAGGAGGTCCCGACGATGCGCATGTACGCCTCCGCGTTCACGATCGGGATGGGATACCTCGTCGGCGGCCTCATCCCCCTGCTGCCGTACTTCTTCGAGCCCACCGCACATATCGCCCTCATCTACTCGTGCATCGTGACCGGCATCGTGTTGCTGGTCTTCGGAGCGGTCAAGGCGAGAGTTACTGGTGCCGGGCAGGGTGCCGGAGGTTACGTGTGGGGTGCGTTCAGCACGCTCCTCGTCGGTGGTGCTGCCGCTGCCGCTGCATACGGTATCGTTGCAGCGCTGGAGTCATGATACCTCTGAGTGTGGACGACGTCTAGTACTTATCCCGTTGTGTATACTATGTGCCATCATCTACCGTCGCTGCCAGTCCTACTTACTTTAGTACTCATCTTGCTTTGCCCATTCACGTACTTGTCCTATGTAAACTGGTCCTTTTGTTTTGGGTGCGGGTGTATGCCGTGATCAGATACCACGTATAACTGGTGTTGTCAAGGGCGTTTGGCACAGTGGTAGCGCGCACGCTTTGCATGCGTGAGGTCGAGGGTTCAAACCCCTCAACGTCCAATTCTCCCAATTGCGGCTGACTTTTTCTTGGAAACCACCTACCATCCCAAATACCCATACCATCTTTGATGTCAGTGTTTCCAACATACCGCCCTGTCGTGATCACATCTCTCGCGATCATCGCTATCAGTGACTCAGTCACCACGAGCTCCGAGGGACCTGCAGCGGATCATTTCATTCACCGAAGACGCAGCTACGTATACCTTGGTTGGCCATGCATGTGTCCACTGTTGATCACAGACAGTATCATCACGTAGGCTCGCGCTCTCCTTCGAGTATTGAAGTCGTTCTCAGAGCACGGTGATGACCGTTCTGGAGGTGCTTGCGACTCACGTTCTTCAGACGTGAGATCAATCTGTCCTGGCTAAGCTTCCTATCGGCCGCCGGAGCACAGTGCTGAACAGTGAACATGCGCTCGGACTCTCTTCATTGGGATTGCATCCATGAGCACGACGCCTGCAAAACATGTCAATGTACCTTGTGGGTTGCAGTTGACACCAGTACTGTCTTCTCCAAAGCCAGTCCATGCTGATCTACTTCCCCTGCAGGAGGTGTTTGAAGCGGTGGCTGGTCCGTATATAACAACATCAAGTTCATCGCTCCATCTTGAAGCGTGCCCGAGCATTTCTGCTATATCGACAACATCCTCCTTCTGGAGGACCTCCAGACAGGCGGCCTGGGTGAACGTATCATCTGCTTTACAAGTCGAGATCGCTTGGGGCCGCTGCTTCCCTCCGTTCTGTATGGGGCGCGTTGTGAGGATGCACTCGGATCGGCCGCTGCCAGCATATGATATACTTGAGGATCACTTCCCGGCCGCATCCCGGCTCCGGTCAGGATGCAACGGTACTTGCCTGCTCCTCTGAACTGTTTTGACCGCCGCTCATTTGTCTCATCGTGATATACTAGCTTCCCTTCGTACTTCCACCCTGCTGTTTTTCTCACACCTTCGCAGGCGCGTTAACAAGTACGCAGGGTCGCCGTGTTCGCCGTACGCATGTCGCCCACGATGGACAGTGACCAGATGCTCGTACTTCAAGTTATCCCCGCCGCAGCACTACTCTATAGACTGGAGCACGGCGAAACTTCGTTCGGGCCGAGCACCATGGTCGGTACTTACCGTGAGTCGTAATGCTAATTCGTACTAGCAAACTCAAACTTTAGGAAGCCGTCGCAGCCACGGTTCAACAGAACCCAATGTCGCGTCAGCACCAGCTGACCACGTACATGCGAGACTGTGACTAGTGGGGACAATGTGGGCCCATATAATTCAGGGCCCGACCACTGCATGTCGGACGAGTCTGACAAAGGACACATCCCACTCACGTCCCTCAGCAAGGCGTCCTCGACCCAACCATGCCACCCGGAGTCCCTTCATTGTCCGCTCCTGCACTAATCGCCCTGGTCCTAATCCCAATTTTGCTCTACATCCGGCGGCGCCTCGCATGGCGATACCGCTCACACGGACGACCGCTGCCGCCAGGCCCTCACGGGCTTCCCGTTATTGGAAACATGTTCAATCTTCCGAAGTTCAAGCAGTGGCTCGGATTTCAGAAGCTGAGCGTCATATACGGTACGTTCTTTCCTTCCCGACAGGTGTTGTCCCGTACCTCTGACGAGAGGTCCAGGAGATATCCTACACTTTGAAGTCCTCGGGGATTCCATCGTGGTTCTCGGCAGTGCCGAAGTCATCATGGAGTTTCTCGATAAGCGTTCGGCGAATACGTCTGACCGCACGGAAAACGTGTTGATAGAACTGTGAGTCAGACTTATGTGGTCGAGAATCATCCGCTGCTGCTCAGTGCAGATGTGTTCCAGTACGGGAGCCGACGTGAGCTTCGGATTCATGCCGTATGGGAACTGGTGGAGACGCCATAGGCGTGCATTCTGGCAGCACTTCCGTCCGCAGGCAGTACTGAACCACTACTCGGTTCAGCAGACTATGGCTACCAGGTTCCTGGCAAAACTACTCGAAGATCCTTCCCGCTTCAAGGACCACATACGGTAGTGAGTTTTCAACGATTTATCAGCGCGCATATGCATTCTGACGGCGTCGGGTTTCATGCAGCACGTTCTCCGCTGCTCTCATGGAGTTGCTGTACGATATTCAAGTGGCAGACGAAGATGACGAGTACCTCAGCCTCGTGGAACCAGTCCTAGAAGGCGTCTCTGAAGGACTCGTCCCTGGCAGGTATCTCGTCGAGGTCCTCCCAATCCTGCGGTATGTCCCGGACTGGGTTCCCGGCGCTGGATTCAAGAGGCGGTTCCTGACATGGAGGACCGCTGCTCACGAGCTCAAGAATGTCCCGGCAGAACATGTGAAGGAGGCGATGGTAGGCGTGTTCGATTTCCACTCGCTAGATGGCTTACAATTAAACCGCGTTGTAATCAGGAACGCCAGGAGGGTGGACAATGCGTTGTTAGGGACTTGTTGACCAAGGTTATAAGTACAGGCGTCGAAGGACC